TTCCCGGTCTCGTCCACATCATCCCACCAGCGTCGAAGGGCCCGTAGCTTGCCTGCACCACTTGAATCATCGGCATACCACAATTGACGGATGTTGGCGTGGGTAGTGCGGAGGTGCCGTACGAATGGTAATGTAGCGAGGGCATAGAAAACCATCGACAGAGGGTCACCTTGTGTGGTACCCTCTGCGGAGGAAAGCTCACCACCGCCAGAAACGAAGAGGCGGGCATCATCTTGGTAGCAGTTCAGCAGTGTGGTAGCCAGGGAAGGACACAAGTGGCGAACATTGTGAAGAGCTGCTTGGCGGTTCAGGCAATTGAAGGCATTTTCCGCGTCAATTAGTAGGACTCCTTCAGTTGTGGCGTCCTCATACAAGCGCTTCATGGCGTGGACCGCTGCTTCTATCCCAGCTGGCAATCCAGAACACTTCTGGAAAAAACCACAGGCCTCCATTACATCGTCTGACGTTACTCGGAGAATGGATTTGGCTAGAATGCGACGGAGGACCTCAGACACCCCAATGGGCCTGACACCTGGGTTCTTGTCCAGGGCAATTAGACGACAGGCGGTGAAGGGGGTAAGAGAGTCTGGCGGCAAGGTTTGTGTTGCTAGCAAGCGGCCGAAGGACGCCATCGCCGAGCAAAGGTTGTTGGAGTCCCCTTTGTACGCCGAGCACATACGTCGCCATGCTGACGAGTCGAGACCAGAAGGACCTGCCGAGCCTTTCGCCTGCATGGCCACGGTTTGACGAGGTCGGCAGTTAGGGAATCAAATCGGATTGGGTGGCACTGAGGCGCTGCTCCCGCTGTCAGGATGTGCTCTGATGCTGGAGTGCCGCAAGGATGCTTACTCTCCAGGGCTGCCCGCACGGTTGTGGTGGAGTCATTGATGGTGATCGAGTCATCGATACCTAACACACCGGATGACTGCGTGGACTCAGAGTCAGCTTCAGATAGGGAATGCAGGGCATCGTGCACACGGCCTTCTGCCATGAGGGAACCAAAATGCCTTGCCTTGTCCTGCTCACCTCGTCGACGTGCTCCTCGGTGTGGCTCACAATGCTGTTGCAGGCAGCGTCCTTCCTCAACCAGAGCAGTGATATTATCATCTGCCCAGAGGGCCATCCGGCGCTGGAGGTGACTCGTGTTGTTCTTGGGCTTGGCCCAGGATGATCGACGATACGTTTGTTGTAGTAACAGAGCTGGGAGCACGGCTAGGTTGTACAGAGCTGTTCTGTGGGTACCAGCAGACTGAACAAAGTCCTGGATCTGTTCGCACATCAATGTTACAAATCGCTTCCCAGCTGAGTCTGTTGGGAGCTTGAAGAACCGCTTCTTCCAATGTACGACCTCAGAATACACGTCCGAGACCGAGTGAGGAGTGGTGTTCGCCTCACTCAAGTGGGCAGAGTGCACAGATTGACTTGTGGGTTCCATAGGCTGTGAGTCGCTCCTGGTTTCTTGTGACTGAGAGGGGGAGCCCACTGCTAGCGCTGGGAGATGTACGGCTTGTTCGTTGCCGTTGCGAATGTTGGTGTTCAAGGTGCTTTCAGCAGGCCGGCTGTCGTAGTGTCAGAGTCCCTGGTCGCTAGTCGTGATCGTACCCTCTGCCCATGGCCTGACCGAAGCCGACATGACGTAGACCCGGCCGGGTGCTCGAATCAGAAACGATTTGACAGGTGTGAGATTTCTCATCTGTAAATCTCAATAATGTCAGAATATACTTTTGGAGAGGCGATGGAACAGGGAAGAGAGTCTGGCTTGACCCACCCAGCAGGAATTCAGAACCTGGGTGCGCTACAACACAAGCTACAGTACGCAGTAAAATTGTCGTATTTCCTTCGGATTTTTTATTCGAAAATTGGGTGCTCGAATCAGAAACAGCGAACTCGTCAGATCGTCTCCGATTCAAGCACACGGTACGGGTCTACCATCGTCTACGCTTGGTGTGGCAGTTGAGCGCAGGGAGTAGTAACTAACTTACTACTTCATTTTTGAGAGCAAGATGGTCAGTGGAGCCGGAGATTCAGCAGGTCTTTGGCAGCACCGTACAGGAGACCCATATCCTCGAATCAAGGACCCAGCAAAAAGTGGGTCGCGAGTATTTCAAAAAGCGTTTACCGGGCAGCGCTGAAATTTGGCATACCGTTAGCGGGCCGTATGTTGATGGTATTTCACTATTTGTGAAAACTAAACGAAATCGGAACAAGTTTAGGTACAATTGTTGTTGTTTTTTATTTGAATTCGCAATACCAAACGGGCAATAAGCCCAATTACATGGAAGCGAATAAAAGAATGCTAAGAATGAGGCATTGGGGTGGATGTTATTTCAAGTGGAAAATACTGATCCCGGGAGGTACTACAAATAGGTACAATGAAAATCTGAAAAGGCCATGGTACTGTCGTTTACCATGCTGGAAGCAGCTACATGGAGAAGGAAAAACAACAAGAAAGACGTTATATCTCATGTATTGGACAAACAGAGCTAACAGGAAAAGACCGTTCGTTATATGCCTATACATACTGTCCGTGTGTGTGTGTGGGGGGGGGGGCATGTCACTGTTTCTCTACTTTTAAAAACGTTTATGGCCTGAGAGTGTACGGGTACACGGCTGCTGCGAAATCGGCCACGGCTTTGCAGGAACGTACACTGGCTGGCAGAGTGTTCCACAGCGCAGGTCCACGGAAGAACGGTCGGCGAGTGCCTGTATTCGTCCTGGCCAGCGGGAGAATGAGCCCGGCGTTGGCTTGATGTCGAGTTGGGGCCGTGGTTACGGGCTTCAGCTGCTTTGAAAGCGCTGTACTACATTGGCCGTTCAGGCCGCGCCAGATGAGATCGAGGAGTCGGTGGTGTTGTGTCTCCTCGATTTTCCGGAGGGATATGCTCTCCCTTTGGTGGCTTACCGAAGATGTGGGTGGTAGGCTGAACACAGCGCGGATGGCACGGTTCTGAAGACGTTGGAGTTTCCCTAGAGCGAAAGCTGAGAGGGACGTGCTATAGGCCACACTTCCATATAATAGGTCGGGCATCACAACGGATTTTAGGTATTGGACCCTGGCCTTCTGGGAAAGGGATCGCCGGGCTCGCCACAATGCTCCGACTTTCCTGTTCACCTTCGCTGTAACATCGTGGATATGAGGGTCCCAGGTCAGTTGCTCGGTGATGGTTAAACCCAAGTACTTGGCCGCAGTACAAGCAGGTAAGCGGGTCTGATGGCAATTTACAGCGATACTGGTTTGCGCATCCCTCCCACAGATGGACAGAACTTGACTTTTGCGTTCATTCAATATCAGGCCGCGGTTTTCGAGCCAGTCGGCCAGCGCAGTGACGGATGACGAGAGTCCCAGTGAAATAGTTGCCGTGTTGGAACCACTTTGGTACAGTGCAATATCGTCAGCAAATTGTATGCTAGGGGTCGGGTGAGCTACTGCAGCTACCGCTCGGGTGTATATATTGAACAAGATGGGCCCCAATACAGATCCCTGGGGTACTCCACTTGTGCATACTGTGATGTTGCTCAGTTCGCTACCGATGCGGACTTGTTGTGTCCGGTTTGTAAGGTAGCTAACGAGCCATTTCATCACCGTACCGCCAACTCCAATTTCAAAGCAGTCCTGGATCATAATTGCATGCCGCACTTTGTCGAAGGCCTTCGACATGTCAAGGAAGCACACTCCAGAGGAGTCCTTCTTGTCGCGAGCCATTTGCAGCTGATCAACCAGTAAGGCTAGTGCATCACCCGTCGAGTGCTGCCGGCGAAATGCAAACTGAGTTTCCGGGATAGCGTCGGTGTGGTCGAGGTGCCGTACAAGCTGCCGCTGGACCAGCTTTTCCAGCAACTAACTTTGACAAAATCGGAAGTAGCGACACTGGCCTATAGTTTGTCGGCTGAGACGGATCCCCAGACTTGAACAGCGGGCTTACAGCCGCCAACTTGAAACCGGCAGGCACTGCACCAGATTTCAGTGACAGGTTGAAGAGTGTGGTGACAGATGGTGTGAGGACCTCGGCACAGGACTTCAGGAGGAATCCTGGGACACCGTCGCTGCCCGTTGCTTTCGCAGGGTTGACTTGACTTAGTAGACGGTAGAATTTCAGGGTGTTTCTGTTTTGGTACCCTGTGTCTCATTCGAGCACCCGGCCGGGTCTATGTAATCAGAGTCAGGAGGTCATGATGGCTGAATCTTGCCCGAGCCTGCAGCCCAAGGGCCGTAGGCCCGAGGGCTGCAGGCAAGGGCAAGATTCAGCCATCATGACAGACAGAGCGTGCTTGGTTTGATTTCTTACATCGCGAAGCAACATATTAGGGAAGGTCAAAGGTCGAAAGGTCGAAAGGTCGAAAAATTATTCCCAAAATGACGTCAAACGGTCCGAACATTCCCGAAATGACGTCAAACGGTCCTGAAACTCCCGAAATGACGTCAAACGGTCCTGATGGCCTGATTATGCCCGCGGCGGGAAGATCGCCTATTGGCCATGGCCCCGGCAACGATCACGTGTCATGTAAGAAGTATGTAATCAAGCACGCTCAGGAGGTCATGATGGCTGAATCTTGCCCGAGCCTGCATGCAGCCCAAGGGTCGTAGGCCCGAGGGCTGCAGGCAAGGGCAAGATTCAGCCATCATGACAGACAGAGCGTGCTTGATTTGATTTCTTACAGCGCGAAGCAACATATTAGGGAAGGTCAAAGGTCGAAAGGTCGAAAGGTCGAAAAATTATTCCCGAAATGACGTCAAACGGTCCGAACATTCCCGAAATGACGTCAAACGGTCCTGATGGCCTGATTATGCCCGCGGCGGGAAGATCGCCTATTGGCCATGGCCCCGGCAACGATCACGTGTCATGTAAGAAATGACAATCGGCGACAGAGCTACTACTTTTACAGTACTACTACTTGAGTACGAGATAAGAACCCTGGCCTGGCCTCGCTTGCCCAGCGGCCTAGCGGCAGCGCTGCAGCGGGGCCAGCCACGCCAGGCAAGATGAGGTCGATCGACTTGGACAAGTACAGTACGGACAAAACCCAGTTTGGGGTCAAAGTCCATGGATCGTGTTGCCTTGCACTTGCACTGTCGCAGTTGCTGTTTTTAGCTGGAGCTGGAGCTGAGACTGTGACTCGAGTGTGAGAGCCCGAGGGTCAGGGAAACTGAGTAGTTCCCTGCTAGCCTCGGTAGCTAGCTGGTCACAATCAATCCTGACCGAGTCGTTTTGTATTGCATTTGCATTTGGAAATCAGTCTTCTAAGTTCTGGACCGAATGTGTTGGTAACCTGTTATCATAAGTGGCCGACTGAAACCCCCTCACAACGTTACCCGGGTGTTCGCTGGAATACGGGAGAGGTTGATATATCGGTGTATTCCATTGGATTTTGCCTAAAACGAACACGCAGAATGTATGTAAAAGGTATGGTGAACTCCGCTGACTGAGCTAAAAGGTGTATTCATGGTTATGATTACAGATGTACATGTACACTGTATGGGTGCATTCATACTACTGTCCATTCATCCCAACTGGCACCTTTACAGGTGCGTGCGCGGGTGTCCTTCAAAGGGGGGTTCCGGGGGCCTCCCCGTGAAAAATTTCAAAAAAAGAAGCAAATCCTGCATTTTGAGCGAAAAAGGGGGGGGGGGGTTCCGGGCACCCAGGAAGCCATATGGGGCACGCGCCTGCCTTTAGGCCTAACCTTTTGCCAGTTTTGGTGTCTTGAACACACATCGTTACATGTACAAATTTGAGCCAGCAATCTTAGCATTTCATTTTTTAATGGGTGCTAGCGATGACAAGTGGTACGGTCAATACCGTAGTGACCATAGCATGTCCGACTCCACTGCGTGACCCTCATCTGTGGGGTTCTAGCGCTGCTCGCATATGGCATGAGATTGAGTCACACAGTGAATAAATAATAATAAACATAGCGGTGAACTGCGCCGACACCCACCGTCAGACAGCTCGGTACTCACAGCTCGGAGTGAGGATAACAAGGATGCAATCTATGGCGTTATGGGCCGCTACACGCCCGATCGGTTGAGAGACTCACCTCTTCTCCCCTGACGTGAGGTCAGCATTCGCCACTAAGGTGTACAGGCATAGGGGTGGCCTGCAGATGCAGCGACGGCTAGCTTGTGTGTTTCTGAACATTCAAACAATGCCGACACGGATCCCGCGAATATTATTATAATAAACATACTAGTAGTCCGTTCATCCAGCATTGCCCAAATTCCACAGTGCTTAACTAGTTGCACTCATGGGCCCTCGCTTCACTGGCATCCGTGTTTGTGCACACGACTTGAAAGCACTGCAGGATGTGTGCGATGGTACGGGGCACATCGGTATGCACAGTGAACTTTTCTAATAATTAAAACATTCTTGGAAAACATACATATCATCTCTGGTTGAGTTCGTGTGATTCCCACCATTGCTTCTTCAATTAGATATGGCCAATTTCAAGTAGAATCTTGATTACGATGACCTAGAGCTAAGCCGTTTCACCAACACTGATCTACATCCGAGCACAGCTGGTGGCCTCGTGTGCCGCGGCCTCGCCATACTCACCCGGGATGGACAGCGACCTGACATGCAATCTGAAGAAATGCCGAAAGCCGCTCACATCCTTTGCTTGGGTAAGGCAACTGCTAGAGCCTTGTAGCTTCTTCTCCGGAACTGGTATAACTTGCGATACTGACAAGACTAAAAACAGCTTTTTATTGTCCTTTGCATTGCTGTTTTCCCCTTTAGGTAACATCTTGCTCTCGTATCCTCTGTCGATGAAAGCCAGAATAAGTGAATTTAGCACCACTAATTTTTAATCTCTGCCTTACGAGATTGGCGAGACATTGTTTTAGGACAAACTATAAGATGTATGCCACACCAAGCCATGTTATACTTGTAGTTAGACCTACAAGAGTGTCATACCTGCTGATGGATATGCATGTCTTTTTTAAAACAGCGTTGCTTGTCTGTTTGAGCCATACTGCTCCATTGCAAGTGGCACAGTGTAGCCTGGCCTTGACTCGCTTTCCTCAGACATATTCTGTGACGAAGACGGCACGAAGGAATTCAACAAGTCCTACGCGTGTCCTGCTTGTAAGAGTGAGCGCTGTACATTGCTGCTGCTTTCTAGGATAAGAGATGCACCATGGCATACCTTCATGATCCTGATTCCTGTTGCTGATGCCACCCAGAGGCCAGCCGATTCCCTGGTCATAATTTTCCGACCAGATTTTAAAATTAGGGCTGAAAAGATTGCGAAGCATCTCTGCTGATTTAGCTGATAATTATCATGATGCTAGTGTTATTGGCTTAGTAGCAACTCCCTGGCGATTTGTGTTGCCACAGTGGCAAACTGAAATAGGCCCGCGGTAGACAGTGAATCGAGGCTTCAATAATGTTGTCAGCCAATAAGTTAACAAAGTCACTGATCTTTCTGTCACGGGCAGCAGATGGTCAGGTTATGGTGGAGCCCTAACTAACTCCCAACTCCAGCTATCTTGCAATGAACACACAGATTCAATGCAGGTGGTGAGAGTTGTGGCAGAGCAGCACACTCAAGCCAGGACCATGTGAGTGTGTCGTCACGGTGCAACAACTGATCACCAGTAACCAGTACCGTTGAACTGGGATGAAAATCAGTTTATGTACCCGGGCAAAACATTCTAACTGAATAGCTATGTGTCTTTTCGCATGAAACACTGGGCCTAGGAGTCAAAATATAACAACACCCTGGGCAGACAGCATGCTAAATCAGGGGCATCCGACGGTATTCAACATTGGTGCGGCCATGAATGGGTGGAGGGTGTGGGGGTCCTCCCCGGGACTTTTTTTAGGGAAATTGGGCCCAAATAACCCATATTCCATTGCTTCAAAACATCCCAAGATGAAAGTATTGGTGCGGCTTTGGCTGCACCTGCCGCACTGGTTCCGATGCCCCTGCAAGTAAGTCTGTGTACAGAGTGACCTGAGTTTGTGAATTTGTGTTGCAGCTTCTTCTATATATATTTTGCTATTTGTGCTATTCAGGTGAACAAAACTTGTCGGGAAAGTTTGACATCATTCGGACTGATCTCTCACCCACAGATCAATACAAGTCTGTAAGTTGTGGCATTCTGCAGCTGGCAATGCTGTGACCGTTCCCACACAATATCAGTATGGTTTGGTCGCACGTGTACTTCTGCCACACACCATTGCGTGGTTACATGCCATGGCACCAACATTACATAAATTTGATAGCTTGCATAGACCTCGGTCCTGACCATCATACACAGACATGCTGCACAGCCTCTGTTCTGACATTGACCTAAAACTTGACCTAAACTGTTGCTAAGGGGCTAATGAAGGAGTCCACACATTTTAGACGTGATCGCACAAGGCATACTACGAAATTCCATGGTAGCAGCCCATGGTAACCATGGAAACGGAGTATGGAATTATGCATTCCACTGCCTTGGCAGGCTAATAAAAACATTAGGACCTCACCACGATTGATGTGCCATGGTCAAAATTCACTTTGGACATATTTGCTAGCGCTCCGACAGGAGTATGTGCGGCCATTTTGACAATTGATAAAATTGCACATATGCAATGCACTGGATATAGCTTTGCATTTTGCGCCATTACTTTGCCAGACAGCAATTGTTCCCAGAAAATTCTGAACCAAAAGCACTTTTGCAGCACGATTTCTTGGGTCCTACCGGGAGGACGGCATGCAAGCTATCAATAACTCCCCAGAGAGTGATCTTCAGTATCAGTGCTGTCTCAATAGAATTTCAAGTAGGGGTCAAAGGGGTGTACCGGGTCCCCGGGTACCCGACCGTTAATCTCAGGTACCGTAAGTAAAAGGGTACCCGTTTGGATTTTGATGAACCACTCAGTGTGGAGCAACACTGCTGGGATTGTGTATTCCAGGCGGAAGTCGATTATTTACAACTACACGCTGGATGTCTGCATTGTTGTTGCATTTTCGCACCTAGTAGATCTACTCCTGCGACTATCAGACACCAATCGATTTGCGAATCACAACGTGATATCAAAATGCAACCCGAGAACAGATGAATTATAATCTTGATTGATGTAAAAATTGCGCAAAAACCTAAACATGGCTGCTAAAGGGTACCCGTTAACCCGCCTGTTAAGAAAATTACCCGTTCGTTAGTTAAAGGTTCACCCGTTTGACTCCTAATTTCAAGTTGACATTATACTAATTATTTGTGGCACACACATCATTTTCAGACGTGTCCCGGACCAGTGGTGGACACACCACAATTTGCCCGGACAAAAACATGCCTGCCATGCATTCCCCCTGGTGCATGATGCACTCCAACGGATAATATTTAGTGAAAGCTGCTATCGGCCAGGTAACTTCTCTTACTACACACTCATGCAGCACACATGCCGCATACTTCTTGTTGTAGCTTGTCCACAATTTCAACTGCCATGAGGAGAGACAAAGACCACGATGGCAAGTTCTCGGTAGTTGCACAGTGCAAGAGCAATTGCAGAAAACCCGACACTGCCCGGGGTGAAAATCATCTCGGGATCTTACACGCTTCCGCAATGCTAAGTGATGGAACTGTGACGAAAAAATAGTTTATACAGATATTAGCATCAACGTATGCACTTTGTACATTGCATGTTCCTGCCGTTGTGCTAACAATGTAGACTTGTCTGTGACCTGGGTTTGTTATTTGCAGATGGTTCTAGCTGGCCAAAAGCCCGAAGTCATTATGGAGATCTGCACAAGAGCGCTTTCATTTTGGACGTACCAGGTGCGCACACACTGCTACACATACTGGCACTTGCCTTTACATTTGCAGGGGCGTAGGAGGGGTTTTGGAAGTGGTACGACCGAAGGCCGTTTTGGAGGGGGTCCCGGGGACCTCCCCCGGGAAAATTTTGTAAGAAACTAAAAAAAAAAAAAAAAGACACAAAATTCTGCATTCTGGGAACTTCTGGCACACTTCTGGCACAGTTTATAAAGTCATAGAATTATTTCACGGTCAGAAGAGACGTGCATGGACATGCACAGATGCATGGCAGATCTACGAGTACGAGCGTAGACCTACGAGTCTAGAAAAAGGTGAAAGTCTGATGATGCGCATATGCATCGATGGATCCTGATTTTTTTATTGCGGTTTTGCACGTTCCGGACGGACCACACTTTTCGAAAAGTGGTACGGCCATGGTCGTACCAGTCGTAGCGGGTGCTACGCCCCTGATTTGTACATCAGGGTCGCCAACACTTCAGTTGCATGTACACTGATGTCCTTGGCTTTCTTAGAAGTATCTGCAAGTTTGAACTTGATCCATGACCAATGTGTTGTTGTTGTGGTGATGCTGCAAATACATGTGATTCTCTTCTCTCTCATTTTTATTCTTTGCACTGGAACAGGCGCATCAGGAGCGCACCTACCACGAGTACCTTTCCAACAAATCGAAAGAAAGGTGCCTCAAACTGGAACAGTACTACGAGCAAGTGCTAGCTCGGCTGCAAAACGAAATCTCCTGTATCCTACACTGGACTAGGAATGTCCATGTTCACAGATGGTTGAAGTGCCACCTGCCCCCCCCCCCCCCCGGCCTCCTCGTGTACCAGTGGCATACATGTTTTACCGTGCATGTGTTGGTGGTTGTACTGGGAAGAAGAGGTACTGTTGCAAGAAGGAGCCACGGGTGTGTGTGATCCCCGGTAGCCTAATCGGTGGGGCACTGCCCCGGAAGGACAGGGGTGCTGGGTTCGAATCCCGCTCGTGGATCCTTCTTTTGCAACACTTAGTACAGTGTTACCATGGCTACTGTCCTTGACCTAACATGACGACTGCACGACAGCGCTGAAGAGTCAAGTGTCAAGTAAGTGACATCATTGCAATAAGACTTGTTGTTTGAGCACTGGTGAGTGTGTGGACACCAGGTGTTCTGCTGAACCACATTGTAGATACATGAATAGAACCAATACAGTGAAGTGAGCAGACTCAAAAAGCCGGTGTGAGATCGACTTCTTCCGTAAGCTGAACTTGGCTAACTGTGAGTGATGATCGCACAGAACAGCAAGGTTACGTCCCAAGTTTTCTGAGGGAGCCTCGGGAAAGAAAAGTGATGACGGTTCAATGTACTGCATGTACACTTGTGTTCATCACAAATCTATAGCATGAGAAATGGCTCGGGACATAATTATCTGTCCCCGGGGAAAATTGCGGAAAAAAATCGCAAAAAACGCGGGGGAAAACGCGGCATAATGATGGCATAATTTGCGGTAAAATTAATATGCGGTGAATACTATTGATGTGCGGCAATTTTCAATGAGTATGTAGTGAAATGATGGATGTATTCTTGCTCATGCCACAGACAAGGCCAGTCGAGTTCGAGATCACTTCTCCTCACAATTCAGTGCCAAAACAGCAGGTGAAATACCACCGCCATCACCATACTCCCTCGCCACTCCCATCTCCGAATCTGAAGTCGCCACTGCCCTCAAGCGCCTGCGAAACGGGAAGGCCTGTGGTCCAGATAAAATCCCAGCAGAGCTCCTGAAATATGGATCCGAGGTGCTAGCGCCGGTCATAGCAAATTTCGTCAACGCTGCTCTCTCGCAGGGTGCCAATTTATCGACGGCTATTGGACCAGGAATACTCATACCTCTCGCTAAGCCTAACAAGCCCAAGGGTCCTGTAACCAGTCTGCGGCCCATCACTTTATTAAACTCTATCCGCAAAGTGATATCGATCATTGTGCTTCGGCGCATCACGGAATCCGGGGCACTCTCTCGTCATCTTGGTACTACACAGTCCGGCTTCCGCCCGGGCCGTAGTACAGCGGACGTGGTATGGACCCAGCGGTGGATCGCTGCAAGAGCCATTCGTTACCGACAGCAATTTCACATTCTAGGCCTGGACATGTCCAAGGCCTTCGATACGATTAACCGCCTGAAGCTGCTGGAGGTGATGTCTGCAATCACCAATTCAGATTGCACATGTCTCATCCACCACCTACTCCACAACACAACTATCACTGTTAAGGTTGCAAGTGCCACAGCTGAACCGTTTGAGAGCACTATTGGAACACCACAAGGCGACAGTCTCAGCCCAGTTCTCTTCATCTGCTATCTGGAGGCTGCACTACAGGAATGCAGAACTCGTCTCGCGCCCCGCCCTGCTGGCGACGCAAGTCTACCACCAGAGACGGGTTATGCAGATGACATCTCCTATTATTCAACCTGCAGGCTGTGGCTTGAGAATGCTCTGCCTGTAATAGCAGACACACTGCACGATTGGTCATTAAAAGTAAATCCAGATAAAACAGAGTGGATCCGTGTGTCACCTGAATCCGAGAGCTGGCGGACATCTAGGCAGCTTGGCTCCTTGATGGGGGAGGAAGAGGATGTTCGGCGCAGGATGGAACTTGCCTCTCGCGTGTTTGGCCAGCTGTACGCCCTATGGCTGCGTAGAGATAAAGTAGCGGAGAAGACACGCTTACGCCTGTACAACGCTATCGTACTGCCGACATTCCTGTACAATTGCGAGACCTGGGGATTATCGTCAACAGCAATGGCCAAGGCAGACGCATTCCACCGGCGTCAAATGCGATCACTCCTTGGAATACGATACCCAGACACAATTTCAAACGACGACCTATACCGCAGAACCAAGAGCAACCCTATATCAGACACAGTTGCATGTAGGCGACTACGAATGACCGGTCATGTGCTGCGGATGGACACGGACACGCCACCGCAAGTAGCCATGAGCGGCTATTTTGACAAGGGCAACAAAGCACCTCGTGGACGGCCAAGGTTGACACTGGCCACAAGTCTGGTTGCTCAGCTGAATAAGCTGGGTGTGCCAATGAAGACCATGGAAGACCTTTCCAGGTGCCGACAACAAGCAGCAGACAAGACAGACTGGAGGAAACTGTGCAGCTCGACACCCGGCGAGAAATCGGTATCAGCAGCTACTACACCTAGCTGATGATGCTCACAAGACAGAAGCGGAAAAAACACTGAATTTCTTTATTTAGTGCTCTACTACGCGAAATGTGCTATTATTATTATTATGTAGTGAAATCAATCAGTTACAAGTCTCTGGTGTAAGCACTCGTCATATTTGAGTAAAAAGCCGCCACGACGAGACGTTGCTGACCGGACAGTGCACTGTGTGTACGTGTAGTGCAACAAAAAAGTTCAAAAAACGCGGGAATATGGCGGAAAACGCGGTCTTTTAAACAATCGCAAAAAACGCGGAAAAAAACGCGGCCGCGGAATTGCAATTTTCCCCGGGGACAGAATTATGCACTGATTGCCCTGACTAGTGTAATCAAAACTTGAGGCAGGAAAAATGCTTCCTACTTTTACACGATCACTGTGATTGTTTGTTTTAGCTGCTAAACATGAATTAGAAGCACTCAAAGCCAGGTATAATGAATGCTCCAGCAAGCTCGTGGAGCGCAACCGCCACTACCAAAAGCTTCAGGTAAATCCCAGGTTTATGCAACCAGTTTGTAATGTAGATCATGCTGATGATAGTTAGCCTGAAATGCGGAGACTGAATATTCATTGTCCACTGTCAGCCTTCGGTGTACTGGGGTGAGTTTGGAGGGAGGACTCATTTCCTTATGAACTGGTCATAAAGTCAAAACCCTGGCCTTCCCCATCCTGAGCGGGCCAGCACAACCTCAAGCACACGCGCGTGCGCGCGTGCACACACACATCTTGAACCTTGAACTTTGACCTTTGAACCTTGAACATGCCCATTGCCGATGGCAATGATAGCGAAGGGACTATGAGGGAATGAGAGCGAAGGGACTATCTGCTAGCACCACACACACACACACACACACACACACACACACACACACACACAACACACACACACACACACACACACACACACAGCCTATTCATTAAATACACACACTGGCGCTACCTTGCCCAAGTATCTGCGTGTGCCAAATCAGCTGCTAGGAAACGAAAGAATGAGTTGCACCATCCTTTATCTACGGGTTAGTTTTGAGCCTTTGACAGTGTGATTGAGGACTCAGTTGAAGCTGCAGCAGTTCCACTGGGTATGTGGGTTTTTTCCTGTTTTCTTATTTCTGCAGTCCATGTACGATGTAATGCGCAGGTGAGTTATTTTTGATTCATGGCTCTAGCTAATGTGATATGTTTGCTATCATATCGGCTACCTTAATAACATAAAAGGTGACAATTTCACATGCATTCCAGAGTGCCGAAAATGATCCGCCAAGATGAAGAAGCGGTTAGTTTGGAATATTCTTTCGGCCCACTGTTTCCCACCAGACTAGGCATAGCCTTTGAGACGAGCCCCCTGTCAATCTCTGACCCCCTTTTGTAGGAGAACCGTGACGACATCAACATTTGGCAGTTCAGATGATTTGGGAACACGGTTGAAGCCTTCCTTGGCTCCTCACTTCTCGCTGTTGCCAAGTCGTAACAAAGGTTTTTCCAGCGCTGGCCACACTCAGCAGGCAGGGGTGCACGCTGTCGCGGTGGCACATAGCAACAGTGGTGCAGCAACAACATCTCTTGTGGAGTCCACCGATGGCAGCAGCAGCCACAGAGCTGGACAGGAAGGTCAGTGCATGATAACAGTCTCCTGCACAAGCTAGGCAGGCACTAGCTGTGACAGGCCATGGGATACAACTATGGATGTGTTTCGACATAATCTCCACACCGTGCATTTAGTTTATGCTCTAAGCAAAGGGAAGGGAAGGGGTACAGGAAAGACGATAACAATTATAGCACTGTGAGAATAGTGGGCTTTGCTGCTCTCCCCTCCCCCCCCCCCCCCCTTCCCCGAATGCACTCTGCCCAGGGTGCTGTGACAAATGTTAGCCCTAGTCTGTAATCGAACGGTGCAGGCATTACGGTAACTGGAGCGCGAGTACATGTAATGTACAGTGCGTGCTGTATTTGCACACGCCGTGCATTCAAGTATGTAGAACTCCACTGGAATGCTACTCACCGCAGGTTGCGAATGAGGCAAACCAAAGCATCTACAAGCGCTTTGTGTGGGTATCTCCTTCTTAGAATCCCTGAAAAGCTATGCATAATTGAAGGGAAACCTTTTTATAAGACATACTTTTATTCTTTTGAATTGGCTAATTTGTGCAGGAGAGTTTGAATTTCGACCTCAAGTTGACGTCCAACAGAGTAATCAGTTCAGCACATTTCGCTTACCAACACCTCCAGCCGGTAGGCTAGGAACTCCTCAAGTCATGGGCACTGCAGGCACCGCCGTCGACACCGAGGCATCGGCATCCACAAGTGCCGACATGCAGGCAAAGTTCACACTGAACCTATCAATGCCGGGGCCACAGATAGGCGACGTGATCGAACCAAAGCGCTTTCAGTAGTCGTCTTTCCATTGTCACAGATAGAGTCGCACCACTGTTACCAGTCCAATCCCCTTCATACCGTAGTGCACATAGTTTTAGTTGCATAGTGGAATTATCATTACTTTAGAGGCTTCAATATGCCAGATTAGGTGGATTTGCCTAAAACCAGTTTAGTGGGCTTTTCTTGAAAGGTAGCCGGAAGGTTGTCAGTAACACACAATTCTTGTGACTCCGCTGGTGATATTTTAAAACGTTCATTGTTTGTTCCCATCATCTGGTCAGCCTCTGGAATATTCACACATGATTCCTTCCATTCAGCGCTACTCAATCTTCATGCAGGCAAGCCGACAGAGTGAGATGGCTTAGGACCATCACTGAGAATGCTATGTTCAATGATGTTATCTTTAAATTGCTTCACCATAGGTACAAACATAGGTACAAACATAGGTACAAACATTGATGCCTTCTTGCTGTGGATCCGGAATGATGCCAGAGCAAGAACAAACTGAGGGCATGATGCACATGTACCAGGCTCAAGCCCTGCTTGAAAGGGGAAATATTCCCTCCGCTGTTCTGTCACGGACCCCTTACTTAGTGCTAGATTATGACATAATCAGGAAACACATTGTGTTAGTGTGAGGGTAACCGTGGCAACGTGGGCAGGGCGAAAGGGATTTTTTGGTTTTAGACCGCTTTCACGGTGGTGGGTGTGATCACTTCCCATTGCGTTCGGAACTGCATCTGCACATAATCCAGGGAGTCGTAAAATAGCAGGGAATTATCCCATTTTACGACTCTCTGCTCCTAACATTGATCGGAGTCTGGCTAGGCAATCCTGGGAAAGAACCGAAAGAAGAGTTGTCCTGGGTCGACCCAGTTGATTGCGCAGGATCGCCATGGCTGAAAAGGGAAAACTCCAGCACACGCTGTGGAGGAGAGTTCTTTTGGATTCTCAGTAGATGGGGAGAGGCTACATCACCAAGGAGCTCCCAACGTCGTTACTGAGTCAATCTCATGTGAAATTGGTGCTAAGTTGCAGATATCATACAGGTGCTTGTTGCTGATCTTATTCGGGAACTTAATGCTAGCAAGAGTACATAACCAGGTTATGTACTCTTGATGCTAACCATACTCTTGCTAGCACCTAGCCGAGCAAAAAGCAAAGTAATAAAAAAGAAAAAAGATGGACTAAATGAGACTGGGTTAGATTGCCAAAGCAAGAGGATCAAAAGTGGCATCATGCTCCTGCGGCGAGCACAGCGGGATACTGAGTAGTCAGCCAAAGCTCAGTTGGACTTCGGGTGAGTGACGCGATGTCCACATAGGTTAGCATTTGCTGAGCGGACAAGAGAGAAAGAGACCCTTGACCTGATCCAGGCCAGTGCGGTGGAATAGGGCTCCTTGCTCTTGTCCGAGAGCATAGGGGCAACTCTGTTGTAGAGTGCAGAAGCCGCTTTCCCGAATCCTCCTGATGCACTTAAAGGGGAGTTAAGGCAAAAATTAAAATTTCACCAGTTGTAGTCTTCGGGGTGCTGAGTCGAATGGTCTTGGTCCGAGAAAGCTGAGACGCTCCCTTCCTACTTGAATCCCAATCGAACTCGCGCACTTCCACCGAAACTGGGTGACTGCGCCCTACGAGATGGGGATTTGTATACAAAATGTCACTAAAAGCGCCATTTCGTTCTTATAAAAGCACGGATGACCGCGATTGGCCCATATGTTGTAGTCTTTTGGACGCTGAGTCGACTGGTTTTGGTCCGAAAAGGCTGCGATGCAGCGTTCCTCCTTTATTCCCAATCGAACATGGTTGAAGAAGCGGTCACGTGCTCCTGGGTGCCAAAATCACCTGGTCACCACGCCAGCAGGCGACAACTTTCACACCAAGGTTCAACTCGAGTGACAGGACTGCACCCAAAAAAGGTCAAAACAGGCTGTAAGTTGTACCCTGCAGGCACGGTGATCAGGTGACTGGTGTACGCAGGAGCACGTGACCGCTTGTTCAACCATGTTCGATTGGGAATTAGGGGCGAACGCTGCATCGCAGCCTTTTCGGACCAAAACCAGTCGACTCAGCGTCCAAAAGACTACAACATATGGGCCAATCGCGGTCATCCGTGCTTTTATAAGAACGAAATGGCGCTTTTAGTGACATTTTGCATACAAATCCCCATCTCGTAGGGCGCAGTCACCCAGTTTCGGTGGAAGTGCGCGAGTTCGATTGGGATTCAAGTAGGAAGGGAGCGTCTCAGCTTTCTCGGACCAAGACCATTCGACTCAGCACCCCGAAGACTACAACTGGTGAAATTTTAATTTTTGCCTTAACTTCCCCTTTAATACTACAGGCACAAAATTTAATGAGGCGTGCTCAATTTCCCCGGATTCGTTCCTCATACGAGCACCTCTTCTCGGCTTCGTGTCGGTATATTACCGGAAGTGACTGCTGGCGGTTGGAATGCACATACAGGTTAAAGACGCGAATGTCGAGGAGCGTCTTCTCAAAACGCCCACTTCATAATGCCGGATGCTGCCACGTCCAGGCGAGCGCTGTCAGCTCAGATTGAAGTGCGAAGACGCAGGATCTCACCGGGTTGTAGGGCCTAGGGAAGGTTCAGTGCTCACATCATCAGTCCTGGTGATGTCCTACACTACAGTCCATTCAAAAAAAAGGTTGAGCGCTGGCTCTGGAGAGCTCCCGTGTTTGGCGATTTTGTGGTACACTGTGCAGTGCCGCGCGATTCGAAACTTGCAAAAGGGTCCAAAAAGGCACCTCAACTGGGGTTCGAACCGCAAATGTACTGTTATATATATTATATTATTATGCAAGTGGAGTGAACGGCCTGGATTTTCATGGTTTTTACCCAATTCAGTGCTTTGGGGGCAAAACCTGGCCGAAATCCTATTCTTGTTATGGCTTGCTTTTTGGAGAAATAGACTTCAAAAACACAAGAGCATTCCATGGGGGATTGCCAAAAAAAAGGAGACGAAAACTCAAAATTTGACCCGTTTATGGCCAAAAGCTAGGATATCAACATTTTCTGAATGGACTGTAGATGGTAGATAGGACATCACGGAACCCAGCATGCCCCAGCATACATACTATGCTGTTCCCATAGTAATCGTGACACGTGACTCAAAACTTTGTGTCGCGTCCGTCCGAGGAAGATGAAATGTCGCACTCAAAACAAACGCAACGAAGGCCTTTCGTCTCAAAAGTAATTAGTTGTTCTCCTGGCGGCTTGCCTCAAGCGAGTCGAGATTTGTATCTTGCCTCTTGCCTTCACGAATTTTATTTTCCTCGTTGTGGAGTACGCCTGGACAAAGGAACTGGCAAGCGAATCGTTTTGGTCGCATTGAAAATTGCAAGTGCACAAGAGGATTGGCGAAGCAATTTCTGTTCGCACTTTCAGCAGAGCAGTAGCTGCTGCTGCGATAAAGTTTTTACTTTCGCCATTGGTTTCAGGCAGCAGAAGGATCTGGCTGAAAGCGATGGCGATACGTCCATGACCACCACGTCCTGGGTTGATATCCAAGAAGGACCGTCCAAGGTCCAGTTTTAGCCAAGAGCTGTCGTATCCAAGAAATCAAAAACGCCAACAACAAGCTTTGGCTAAATAATATCTTCCAGGCAGTAATTTACGGGCCTAGCGCCTGCTGCCTCGTCTTCCTCCTCTGCATGGCCAGGTTTGGGGCGAAATGAACGCACGGGGCGTGAAGAAACATTCCAAAGGCAAAACATTCAAAATTAGAACCAATCAGGGAGTGGTATTTTACGACTCCCTGGAACCAATCGTTTCCAAAGAAGCGCCGCGTGGCTACGAGAAACCGGTTAACCCACATGAAATCCCCAAACGAAAACGGCCATTCGGTCGGGTATTCGATGGCGAATCGAATATACACTACCTCAATCCCCGCCGATGTCTGATATTCTCCGCCTATTCCCTCAAACTTGACCAATTCGGAAAGAAATCCATCGCCATTACGATCGTGCATCCTCCACATACATTCAGAAATGCTCACGCAGCACTTCTTTTCATCGCGTGTGCGCGACCGACGCTTCCATGACAACTCTGGGACAGGTAACCAATCAGACTCATTCAGAGTGCGATGTCCTAGATAGGACATCTCCCCTACTGATCATGGGCCACATCTCTGAAAGTTTCAGTTTGAGGAGGGCCAGGGCCCAGGCCCAGGGATGCAGTCAGATCATTGCCATTGGAGGTCACTGACGTCTGTGGCACATGGATGGGTAGCCGTCTATGGCCTAGAGTATGGGACAGGACAAAGCGTGTTCTGCTGTGAAGGAAGCGCCGCATGTGCAGGTTGAGGGAAGTCCAGATAGGATCCAACCATAGCACAAGCGAAGTGTGCCACAGAAAGCTTGTTTATGGAGGACGAAAACGTAGCGATGGGGCGGGCGGCAGGCAAGCCAACTAGAGGCTCCCTTCTCTGAAGCCAGTTCCAGCACCTGAAGCATGGCAGCGGGCAGCCAGGGCTATCCTTGATGGACTTGTCATGGTCCATGTGTGCCTGGCAGGCTTGGCATCAAGCATCTGCCTTTGCTTTTCTGGTGTTGTGCATGATACCGTCAAGGGATTGGTCTTGAAACAGGATACGCTCTACGAGTGCTGGCGTGATAACTTTCGAGTCCTGGTGCTGGGCTGACAGGGAGGCCGGGATGATGAGACCGAATCATCCGTCTCTGCAGGGTAGATCGAGGATGGACCTTTCAAGATCACCTGGAGGCGGTCGGTTGGTGATGGCTGGAATGAGGTTAGTGCGGATCCTGTCCTCAATGGGAGCAAGCACGGTGTCGGGCACAGTTCGAGCAATGAAAGCCTATTTGTGCCGCAGGTCCTGTCCAAATACCCAACCGCTGCTTGGGGCTGGGTGACAGCATGCTGGGCGAACACTGTAGCCACTGCGCACCACTCCTGGACTTTCGATCGAAGAAAGTTCTCACAGTACTGTGGGATGCCCAGAACTGCGCCCAGATGACGACAGCGGTCAACACGGATGTCCACATTGGTGTCACCAAAAAGCTCAGCTGCTAGGTCAGCATGATCTGGTTTTGTAAGAAGAATGGACTTCTTGGCATTGATAAAGCAGCCCAAAACTGGCCCCTCTTCCTGTAGGATAGACCAACAGGTACGCAGCGTCTGTAGTTTGCCACCCATTGTTGAGTCATCTGTGAACCAGGCTTTGGAGGGCGCCACTGGACTTGGCGCTTTGTATGAGGGGTACCGTCCCAAGTGCATACATATGGCGAGTGGTCGCCTTGTCTGGTACCTTCGCAGGACCGAAGTGTTTCGCCCCCGACGGAGAGCTTGGATGGTGAGCGGTAGGAATTGATGACAGTCACGAGCTGAGAACTCCGGGCAGAGTTGGCGGATGTTAGCAAGACATGCACTGGCACGGTTAATGCAGTTGAAATCGTTTGTTAAGTGTCGTCATTCAGG